AGCCTCTGAGTAAATATCACCCTTTTCCCAAAATTGTATAGCGAATATGAAAGTAATAACTTCTTACTCAATAGTCGTAAATGGCAATGTAAGCGCTGTATTTTCCTCACTCTCTTTTACTGAGTGAGTGGGTATTTTGAATATTCTAAGAGAATGTGTTCAGCAGAGCGCGCCAAGATGCTTCGGTGAGGTAGCATACTTGAGAACCTTTTTGTGCATTAAATTCATATTGCAATCTGGATGTTTACTTAGTCAGAATCAGTCTCTAATCAGATCACCAAAATTGGAGACCATTAGTTATTTTCCGTAATAAACGTGATATTTCGCAGCTATAGAGGTTCGAAGTTGGGTACTTAATATATCAGCCACATGAATAATCGGTGAGGGATCAAATTAACCTGTATGATCGATTGAAAATTGGTAGACCCTTGATGGAATTTAAAGTAAATCTGGGAAATCGAATCGCGCAGTGGCACACGGAATGCGAGTTTTGGGGTTAAATGATCCCACCATAAACGTACGAGAAAGAGAAATATGTCAAACAAACTACACTATTATAATACTACATATTCCGAACGAAACTTGGACTGAATTAAAGTAAAAATTACGATTGTCCAACACTAAATTATATTTTGTTCCTATTCGTTTTTTCTTGATATATTGGGTGGCAAACGAATAGAAGTTACAGTCGTCAAAATTAATAGTCCTAAGAACCTATATTGCCATATTTCGAATAATGGTTAATATAAATCAGAGTATTAAAGAAAATTATGTATGTATATAAATTGGTAATAACATTATTGTTTATCTTCCTAAGTATGGAGTTTTTTCCGGTAATTATTTGTTACAAAATTACCTGTACTATAATTATTTATCAGATGAAGAAATAAAATTAAATAGACATATCAAAGTTGAAATAAGATTTGACTCAAATTTCTACCGCTTAGTCAGTTTTTTTGAAACTGATGTATAATTTCTGGTCTGGGGCTATAAGATACAAGTTATTTATTCTTCAGTGAAGCGAAATCTTAGGCACATCCATGCCACAGCAAAATAGTGTTGAAGGAATATTTAAGTTAAAAATAAATGCATGTCATTTTACTTCTACAATACGATAAAAAACATAGTTCGTCGTAGAAGGTCTTTAATAAACGAATAAAATAGAGGATTTGTACATTTATTATGAAAAAATTATTAATTTCTCTAGAATGGTATTTATTTACACGCGAATAATTATTTATCCTTTTATTCAGTATCAGCACATACTATGTAAGCTGCAGGACGAAAATATTTTTGTAGCAAGACAGCAAGTATACAATTTTATCCATAAATCTCCCGAAAGGTTAAGTCCGTTAATCGTCACTATATCAAAAAATAATCATCATTTAGGAAAGTTCCCAAGTCGGTTGATCCAACATATTAATGTAGATTGTAAAGGCTACTTCGCGTAAAAGCATAGCAATAAGTAAAGTATTGCCATGTTATCCAACAGTTAACCTCATTAGTTTTATGATTCTTTGAGTGGAAAATGGACAATCGCTAAATATATAAAATTGTATTAGTCTACAATGTCTTCTAGTTTGAGTGCAAAGACTTAGGAGCAATAATAGATAGAGGATTTTAGTGTTAAAATTCGTTTTTCAATTTCTGCGAATAATTTTTTTATATGTTTATTTCATAAAAATAATTGTAAAATGCGTTTAGCTATGTCTTCTTGCCTTATAACAGTGGAATTGTATAATGGAATCTTCCTCACAAAAAGTTATTGTTTAAGGCCTTGGCCATGAAACTAAGAAACAACGGCTGTGCTAGTTTCTCATATAAAGAAAATGACGGCATTTAAAGATCGTTGCCACTGTCACATTACCATCTATCCTAAAAGTAGTTTTTAGCAAAGCAGAAGTTAGGTTTCGACATCGTCTTTACGTATTCTTAGTACTCATTGCGACAGTAAACTCTTTTATTTTTGTGCAACAAAATGGGCATGTGGCTTAGATGGTAACTTAGTTTTCTTAAACCATACATCAACATTTCTGATACTGCTGATGAGACCGAAACTATGGTCCAGCCCGGCGGCTGGAACGACCTTCTGCCAGGCAGAGGGTAATTTAGAACTATAGATCAATTCATCATATGCAAATTTAGTATCGGTCTAATACAAAAACCAAACCTATACGTAAATTTTTACATTTGTTCATGCTTTACCGGTGTCCAGATTGCAATGTCCCCCATGTGGAGCCAGCCATCTTCATCTATTAGCTCTGCTGTCTTTTCCGGTTCTTTGAAATACCCCAAAGTGCATATGGGGCCCTTCACGCAAATCTGAAAACAATCAAAATTGAAGATCAGAACATAGTTCCCCTTATAGTTTACGTACATAGTAGTTATTTGGAATTATTCCAGGCTAGCTTGAACTTTTATTAATCATATAACTGTAGATTTTCTAAAAAGCTCATTCATTTTAGCCAGATAAAGCCTCTTTCTGAACAGCTTACAGTTTAAGGCCCCTAGGAGAAGAATAGAAAAAAGTGGGAAGAACGTTGAACTTACTTAATATTTCTATCTTATGGGCCGGATTAATGAGCTTTTTCCAGCAGGTCTTCACTAAAGAGGCTATAACTGGACGCTATATTAAGGATGGATCCCCTTTTTATGGTTTTTGAAACCATTTCGTACAATCAAAACATAGTTTTAGTTTAATCTGTGTTTATAGAAATAAAAGGATTGCGACCAGTTTACTCTTCCTGCCGGGTTAGTAAAGAGGCACTATATTGTCTAGACTTAATGTTATAAATATTGATGTGCTGACTCAAAGTTACACTTACAATATGTTAATTATGAAATAAGAAGTAAAACTTCCCCTTCTGACTTCAACTTTACCTCTCCTTTGTTATCCCGCTTGTAGATTATGTCCATATCCGGTACGTCGACTAACTTGATCTTGCAGCAGACAACTGGAGGTCCAACGACTTCGCAACTCGAATCGCTCAACATATTATGAGCTACGCAGCCGCAGACCTCTGTGGAGCCGAAGCATTCGATAACCTATAGAGACAATTTAGCAAAATATGCGATTTACCATTCGACTCAATTTGTTACAGTCGTTCTTGGCCTATGGTGGATTGAAAGAGCCACGATTCGCAATCCATCTACCTCAACTGAGAGTAGTCTTTGTTCTCCTGTTAAGGAGCCAATGGAGGCCAAATCGCTTATGCTCGTGGAGCATTTCAGAGAGCC